CTACATTCACCTTCGGAGGGAGGGCCACCCACCAGCCGATGAGTTCGTAGGATGGACGTTTGGAGACCGGGTTGATGCGGCGCTCTATGTCGAGGTTGTGTGGGAGAAGAGGGCGGTTGTCGATAGGGATCTCCCGGTACGTGGCGAACCATTACCTTGGTACGACGAGTTTCTGGGGTGGTGAACATGCCTCTCCCCTGGGGAGCAGGAAAGCCCACCTGAGTGAGCAGGCGTACCGTCTCGTCCATTTGTGTGGTGACTATTACGGCTGTAGGACCTCGGCGGAGGCGAAATGTTGAGTCCTGAAGTGGAGAGCAGTGATGGACAACCAGATCGTCCGAGTGCTAAGGCCGGGAGGCGAGACGGGGGCCGAGGCGGGGCGAGACAAAGGGAATCCCTTATGTCCATCGTTGGCGGAGGGTCGGTCATTGAGCCACATGTAAGCTCACTTGGGGACCCCGATGACCAGGAGGCCACCCTCTACAGCCCCAGACGGGGTGCGAGGGGGAGGTGTAGCCCCTGCTGGAGAACCTGACTTCTGAGGTTTCTGCTTCTTTGAATGTCTTCAAGAAGAAAGTCGTCAGCATCACTGTCACCTACTGCCGCCGTTTCCAACGAACGGGAACGTTTAACGGCGGGCATAGGGCACGTTGGCAACACTGCAGTCAGGTGGTGTGGTAATGACGTCACTGCTACGTCACACTATCACATTGCGTATGCGCAAACTTGAAAAACTTTGCCCAGAGGGATCGGGTGGTAGGACCAGATGTTTTATCCCCAAAAAATGACAAAGTCCGAAAGTAAAAATAAAATAGATGCCACTGTGATGATAACTGGGTCTTACTACAGTTGTCTGCACAGGCTGGGATTAGTAGACTCGCTGAAATCGTCAGAAATACGACATTTAAAGGGTAGTCTCTTACAGCCTTTGTTGACACTACGGCACGCATGCGCGTTCACCTTACCTTTGTTATGTCCCCTTTGTTTAGCCCTGACTTCCATTTATACACCTCTATCACATCGCCCCTCACTCTGATGTTAGTTAACATCAGAGTATCAATAATATATATAAAATAATCAGGATACTGTTGTACTGTCGAAAAATACAAGGCTGGAACCTGTAAGTTTGGGGTTAATATTCGTTTTAGGACGGCCCTACGACGTTTAGGACTAATTTATGTTTTACCTATATATTTCGATGTGCTTTGAGTGCAAATCACATTCTTGGGCAAACTGACTATAAGGGAGATACAACTCATCCCTAATAAGTCAACTTGAACCCAACAAGTGAGTGTAGAATTCATGCAAACCTTAGGTACCAACTCAATTTTTCTTACCTTCAATCACTTAAGGCTGAAGAAGAATCTCATACGTAAGCGTATTCTTTTATATATGCCAACCAGTTGTAAACTTGCATGAAAATTTTTGCTGAATAAATATCACTATTATTACAACTTCCAGTCTTAAATTTCCAACAATACATTGGTAGTTGTGTAGTTTTGAAGCAGTATTGTACTTTTCTTTAAGTTAGTCATCAATAAACTAACGAGCACAAAATAAGAGGTGAAAAAGTTGTGGTACTGACAACTCTGTTACCAACTTGTGAAAACAGTGATATTCTTTGTAACTCTACTTAAATAGGAGCCTGTTAAAAACACTACAACGAAGTGCAGTGGCTAAGTATCTGTGATATCTTTTCTTTATTGAGTGGTGTAAAACTGGTGTAAAACTGTAGCTACTCCCATCGCTCTTACAAATAATTGAAGGGAGCATTTTCCCTTCAGTAAGCAAGTATTATTTTTTTCTGCAAAATAATCAGTGTTGCTTTGAGAAATTATTCCTAGATATCTAAATTTGGATTTCATTGCCCTACAGATGATATATAAAGTGTATTTATTGAATAATCTTGTGTCATCACTCAATATCAAGTAAGGGAATGGGTTTAACTGAGTATACTTAACAGTCGCTTGGAAGCACCACCGTCGCGGAGGATAAAAAATTTAACATTGAGTGAGCCATCCTCTCGGAGTGTAGAATTCTTGGCCAAACTCTTCTCTATGGCGCCGAGGCCGACCGGCTAGCCATTCAACCTAGAGAATCTGGTGATTTTTTTTTCTAAAAATTCTGGGCGCCTGGAAGTACCACTACCACCTATGTGCTTTGTATAAAGAAAATGTGAAAATTTTCCAAAAACTCGATAAGGGTCAGTCAGCAAGTAATTCCGTGACCAGTGTGGTGGTGTAGCGATTACAACAATTTATGACAAAGAAAAAATGTGACAATTTTGTTAAGTTTCCAACACTTCTGCTTCAAGTTAATTAGAATAGAGGAATACAGAATAACAATATGGAATAATACTGTTGCAGTGTGTTTTCCAAATATAACTTAAAAGAGTTTATGAGGGAAAATTGGGCTATCTAGGTGCTTAATGAACTGAGCGAACACTCAAACGACAATTCTAAGTCCGACAGTTGATAGAAAATACAAAGAATTAACTTAAGTACACTTCAACAGCTATAATAATCATAATACGACATGTGGTAAAAGGATGATATCGTAAATAAGCATTTCCAATTTTCCTGCTGAAAATCACACTGCACTACAAGTTGGGCAGGTGCTCACACGTTAGACAGTGTGGCCCAAACTACTTCATCAATGATAAAACGACTTTTGCTAAATATATGGTTTGTGGTAAGTTTTGATATTAACATACCTGAATAGGCAGTGTTTGTTAAATAGCAACATACCTGTACTTGAAAGTATCAATATATGAAAAGCGGGGAAATAGTTTCGAGGTTGGTCAGGACAGGCGTAGAGGTTACGATCATCCTCCAGCAGTAAATCAATGTCATGGAAGATCAAGCAGTCATACCGGTACACTTTTAACGCTTCCAAGGCTCCCACATTCAACAAGATTGCCCGGTTGAACTTACCATCACCTGAAACTGGATTGTTGTCATCAATACTGGATGGATAATAAAATATGTAATCTTCCTCATGTTATCAACCGTAAATCTCTTTCCTGTTTTAGGAATAGAACTTCATTTCCACTTGAATCGCTTATCCTTAGAAAAAAAAATTATCTAAATACTTCTTACATTTCCATATACAGGCCTATCTTAATTTTGTTCCTCTTATCGCGTTCTACTTAGCGTATACTATTTTTCTATTTTTGCATTTGTACCTATAGTTATTTAACACTATATAAGAAATTACTATCTCATTTCTATAATTAAAAAACTGTACAGTAACAATTCTCCAAAAAGTAAAGATTATTTTGCATATCCTCATTCCCAAAAGTTATTAAAATTTAAAGAAAAAATTTTGGGGGTCAATTTAATCTTTCCATTCTGCCCTGATTATATGATCTGGTACACGAGATGGAGAGACTAACCGAAGCCAAGTGTTTGTCCCACAACTGACGGTTTTGTACAGCGGCAACTCACCTGATGATAGAGTTAACCTATTCTAAGGTTTTTAATTGACAAAAAAGAGCACCACAGCCAACTTAGGTTTGGGGAGTCAGGTCCGAGAGTAACATTACGCTACAGAAGAGCTTGAAGTTTCCTAGTCTGGTTACCTATCACACCTCCTAAGGACACCATTCATACCCCATAATGGGCATTTATCACATCCCATTAAATGGATCGCATACCCCCTTTAAGAGCACTCATATTCCACTAAGAGTACTGCACCTGTCTCATTCGTTTAAGGATATCTATCACAAACCATTAACATCCCATTCTGGCTGGCATCACATCTCACTCGGGTGTAATTAAAGTATTTTCTTTACAAAGAAACCCTTTTCTTGAATCACTTTAAATAATCCCATTTGTTTCATACAATATAACATGATTAAGATTTAGGATAAGGGATACTTATCATATAATAATTTAATGTATATACTCATATCAAATTCCAATACCAGACTCCCATATACTGACCTGCCTGTTCTACTACATAGAGAGTATAGTCAATCTGTTGACGTTGAAGTATTGGATGCATATGATAGAGGAACACAGCCAGGTGTGTCTCTCTGTCTCTGTATGGGATGATGATGGCAACTTTGTGTCGAGCTTGGCACTTCGCTGGTGTGTAGTGACCTCCTACCTTAAGTTCTGGGTGGCTGCGTTCCTGTTCAAGAAGGGTTGGTGATGTGCGCTACACCTTAAGACGACCCTCTGTAGATGTAGGTTATAAGATGAAATTACTTTAGTAATATACATAAAAAGTATTATAAAATAAGACAAAAGTGTTTTATGCCTACTGTACACTTGATACCTTGAAGTCCATCAATCCACCAAGATGATTTTTGCCGAGTAACTTCAAATAAATTGTTCTCCTCCACCTCCCCATCAAAGGGGTTACTGTTATCTTTAACACAGAAGTGCCCCTGGGTAATGAGCTTCCCTCTCCCATGCATTTTTGTTTTATTTTTCACATTGTAAAAACCTCTTAATTACTAAGAAACTGGACAACTTCATATACAGATGAGACAGTTGTTCATAACATTTTCTTTTATTCCCTGTCTCATCATTCCTCTACCCCTCCATCTTTCTGAAGAACGAATAAAAAAACATTTTCACTTTTGCTCTTGAGAGCCATGTGACAAATTGTAAATCACTCCTTTTCAACAAATATTTCTGTTTCCTATTTCCGATATACAGTACACCTTTCCTAACTTCCAGTTTTTCAAATATCAGTTATAGTAATTGATCAGGGTGCCATCCTCATGTCTGAAAGGTGGGGGACCAGTGCTCTCTACAGCAAACAGTTTTTGGCTGTTTTTACTAATCCTCACAATAATTTTGTATATCTCCGAGATCCAGTTTTTAATTTAAATCTTCCATTCTAGTCAAACCCTTCCATTTTCCCTTCTACCTCAATTTTGCCACATAATATATTTATCTGATTATTTGGTAATTTACATGTATCTCATTGTTCTGAATAAATTTTTATTATTCATTGGGGCAACATTTTAAAATATCATATACAATATTTTTCATTGGCAGTTTTGAGAACCAGGAAAACACAAGATATTTTAGAAAACGTGCATAAAAATGTGACTTACTGAGGTTAGGTGGTGTAACGGGGCAAAGAGGTTTACTTTGTGTACCAGCACCACTACCAATTACGTTTGCTGAAGTCTTTATGCCACCAAGAAGTATGTTTGATTGTTCGGCGCTCTTTTCTGTATCACAAGTATCGGAAATCTTATAAAGGTCCATTAAAGTTTGTTTCTCATTGTTAAATAACTTGGACATTTTTACACCAGCTTTAAAACTCTTTCCTTCATTACCTGTTGCTGTTCTGGTGATAAGGTTATTAGAAGCCGAGTTCAAAAATTTATTTACATTACCTGACAGCTCTGGCATCGAGTGAGCCCAGGGTACTTTAAGACTCAACCATTTTGCCTGCAAATATGACATACGATATAATGAAGTGATATACTATACAGCTGGAGGTGTTTAAATATTTTCAAGGAAGTATTTATTAGAGATGAAATATTGTTACGAATATCGGTATTTCTTTCATGTAGTGTCTCGTGTACCATTGTGTGTGTGTGTGTGTGTGTGTGTGCGTGCTTTAATTTGATGTTTAAGTTTCAGGACTTCTAGTACAGAGACTAACAGTCCAATATTGATACTATATGTGTTGGACAATACAACACTTTCGAATATTCTAGAAATTTACTTGACATTGTGACCTGTGTGAAGCTGTTGGGAATGAACTGCTGGTAATCACTGGTTATGACTAAATCCCTTGAGCCGTAACTCAGTAACTATAAATTTGTAGTTTTGGGCAAATTATATTAATGTAAGTGATCACTGGTGGACTCACTGTCACAACAGAAGTAAAATTCTAATTTCATTATACGTTAAGTGGTCAAATAAAATTAAATACGACAGAGGATTTGAGATATTTGTATATAATACTTAATTAGCTTGTTCACAATCATGCCATTAAAAGAAAGATAAAAAACACTGTTAATGATTGAACAAATGTGGTTCACACCTTCATGTAGGTGTAGTACACCGACAGAAGCTGCTTAAAGAATTCATTGGATTATATTCATTGGTGGCAAAGTGGATGAAGAGCCTGTTTCCTGTCGTAAAGGTCACTGGTCCATACGAATAGTATCCAAAGTCTACAGTATCTCGCTGTGAATGGGTATTTAACTGTATAATTAAGGAAGTGAAGGCCTCCTTGAGTGTACCGAAGGGTTTGTAGTCAGCAATGATGCATATTTGCTATTTTTATCAAGTCGCCAGCAGTGCTAGTGGAATTTAGATTTTATTGGCCATAATTATTTTTTACTCGCCCTTAAACAGGTAAAAAAAAAAAGATCCAACATTTTCAGTTACCTGTTTAAAGAAAGCTGTGTTTTTGTTTACATGGTACGATAAATCATGTCCTTTGACCAAGCATTTTCTCTATTTGGTTCTCATCAAACTCATTGTTGCGTTCCAGTACTTCCACTGTGCTGCAGTGTGTGTGTGTGTGTGTGTGTGTGTGTGTGTGTGTGTGTGTGTGTGCTTTCTTTACATCAAATTTTAAATGGAGAGGAAAGAATCGAATGAAAACAGGGAACACGGAAAGAGACACAGAAAATAGCAGGTAATGCGAGATACTTGATGTATTTAGCGTTCCTTTTCTTTGGTTTCGCTCTGCTCCATTCACACGCTCAAGTGCCCCGGGTGCACTGCCCACATCCTGCCGCTCTACCTAGATCTGCCCCTTCCTCAACTCTTCTCACTCTTACAACAGCTAAAAGTAATAGTTTTATTAAGGCAATATGTGCAATGCTGGTTCAATCCTGACGTACTCCAATTACACTCGGCTCTAAGTACTGTAGGTACAGTACCTATACCTGTCTTTATAGTTGAGAAAGTGAAGGCATTCAAGTGCAATGTTACCCACGCTGCTTCCTTGTGTACCTAAAGCTTGGTATTCAGATATATGTTCACACTGTTTGTAATTGACAGACATGCTTATGAGACCCACTTTCACTTAACTAAATTTAACAAAATTCCATTATTGTGATCGAGTGTGGAATACAATATAATACCTGCATCAGAGTTAGACAGAGAGAAGAAACACTTTATTCTGGTGGTAATGGTATACCTTAGGGTGAACAAGAAAACATTTACTTATGAATTGCTGGTTACTTACCCAAAAACCTGAAGACATTGCTCCTACAGTAGTGACGTTCACGTGCATCTGAGACTCATATCTAAGTGGAAAGTAGATACTACGGAAGACCTGCATCACTATCAGCAACACCAAGACAACCATCAATATCCGAAACTTTGAAGAGTACATTAGGACCCTCACCGGCCTCATAGTTCAGGTATCTGTAGGTTATGTATATAAGCTACTGTGCCGAGTAGCAACCCTGTATATAAGCTACTGTGCCGAGTAGCAACCCTGTATATAAGCTACTGTGCCGAGTAGCAACCCTGTATATAAGCTACTGTGCCGAGTAGCATTTATATATATCATCACGTGGCAACACTGCACGTTATGTGGCACCATTGCCCCGAGGCTGCCATATGGCAAGGCAGCCTCAGTCTGACTGTGTGAGCCGTGCATGGCACATGCGAGTCACCACTTGTATTTCTCTCATCCATAATAAACGGACTTCAGTGTTACACGGTGTTTCCCTACTCATCACTGCATCCTTCAGGGAACACTTGTAACCACCATGGCGCAGTGGCTAGGATCTGTGGACTTACAAAGTGTGTGAACTATGCCGAGACAGTTACGTCTGCCGGTGATGCGCGTCGACTCATCTTGTGTTGTGTTGTGTTGTGTTGCTCTGTGTTTCGCCGCGATGTGCAGTGTTGCTCCGTTACAGTGCGTTTTAGTGACGGTGGCAGTGTTAGTGTCAGTATATTAGTGTGTGTCTAGAGCTGAGAGTTGAGCTTTGGCCTGTTTTTTGTGGTACCCACGGAGCACGCAGGCGTACACCCTTCTCGTGTGACATCCGGGAAGACACAGACGGTCTCGCCCTCCCCCCCCCGCGCCGCGTCTCTAGCCACAGGCATTAAGGCCACCACGAAGTGCATCTGCTCTCTCAGACACACACACACGCACGCACGCACGCACGCACTCACTCACGGACAGAACAGTGGACTATATGCGTTATTTCTGCGCTGTTTATGTCATATATATGTGGTTCGAGCTGTTGAGGCGCCACTTTATATACTAAACAGTGCAGTCCACGCAGACACAAAGATGGGAGGTAAGAAGGGACAACGTCAAGATGGGAGACACGACTCCCCACCACCTTCCCCTCCACCGGGCGCAGACTCTCACCCTCCACCTCCAGTGACGGACATTGCCACAATTCTGAGGTGGATGGACGACCGGGACGAGAGACGCAGAGAGATGGAACTTCAGAGGGAGGAGACACGAAGAGAGGAGGAAAAGTTGCGTTTTGAGGCACTATTGGCGACCCTGGCGCTAACCCACCCTCCCTCACTCGCAGGTAGCGCGCTTCAAGGCGCCAGTACACTCCCTCCTCCACCACACCAGCGTCCTCCAGGTACTCTTGCCTCCAAACAAACAGCTCCCAAGGCATCTGTTCAACCCCCACCCGCCCTCTCACCAGACGTCACGTTTCAGCTTTTTCGTGAGTGGAGGCGGCGTTGGACAGATTACTCCACGATGGTGGACCTGGACAGCATGCCTCCAAACAAACAGCTCATCCAACTGCGGATGTGTTTGTCGCTGGAGACCCAGAGAGTTTTGGAGCACACGTTGCAAGTGCCTCCCGATTCTACATCTTCAGTGACGGATGTGCTCGACCTTTTACAGGAGCACGTTAAAGGTCGGAATAACGAGGCTTTGCGTCGCCGCGCCTTCACCAGCTGCAAGCAGGCGGAGAACGAATCCTTTGACGACATTTTTGTACGCTTGAAGGGTTTGTCAGAGGAGATCGACGTCTGCAAGGCGCACAGCCGGGAATGTGAGGAAGCCTGGATCAAGCACGGGATCTTGGCAGGTGTCAGGCAGGAAGAGTTGGTGCAGCGACTCATCCCCCTGGACGCTTCCTCCACACTCCAGGTGGTAGTGACTGAATGTCCGTCATACGAGGCCACCAAGTCCGCCACCTCTGCCTTACGGGCCCCACCTGCTGTGAGAGCTATCTCACAATACAAGAAGGATAAGAAGGCGGCCAACAACGTGAAGGCTGCCGCACGTTCTTCCATGCCTCCGCCTAGTGCTTCCTGCGGCAGCTGTGGAAAGCAGCACGGCCCCAAGACTTGCCCGGCCGCCGACGCACTGTGTCGTGGATGTGACCGTAAGGGCCACTGGTCTAACACAGACAGGTGCCCTACACGAGGTCGCAAGTGTCAGGCCTGTGGTCGCTATGGACACTACGACAAGTGCTGCCGCCAACCCAAGCCCAAAAGCCCGAGACGAGGAGGAAAGCAGCGCACTTCCCTCGGGGTGGTTCGCACGCAGCCCCCTTCAGATGGCCCACGCAGCCCCAAGCAGCAGCGGAGTCACATCAGGAGGGTGGAATCGACCACACGCCCCAGGGTTACCCCTTCCCCCACCATCCGCGTCGCCGTCACACACGGTGATGTGTCGGGTCACATCAAGGTGATACCGGACACCGGCGCCGATACTACGGTGATTGGGTTGAAGCACCTCCAGAAACTGGGCCTCACCAAACGTGACCTGGGACCACCGCCGCAGCTGCTGTACTACAATGCGGACGGTTCCCAGATGCCGGACGCTGTGGGCTCCTTTCAAGCAGAGATCACCTACGGCGACAGGTCGTGTCATGGATGGATCAACGTGCAGCCTACTCTCGCTACACCCTTGTTGTCGTGGGAGCACCTCAAGGAGTTATGCGTGGTGCCCATAGACTTTCCCGAGCAGATCCCAGTTGCTCGTTACACCGCCAGCAGGGTGTGTGAGTCGACGAGCGACGCGCCTGGCGCTGCCACACAGAGCTGCCCAGAACCCACGTCCACTCCCACCCACACAGGACGCTCCCCTGCCCAGATCCTGTATGGTCACCCTCTCCGCTCTTGCGTTCCTACACACGCCACGGCCTTTGCGAAGGACTGGCAGACCAAAGCCGAGAGCTGTGACCGCCGCACCGCTTCACGTGCCCAGGACGCCAAGGCTCGGTATGACGACCGTGCCCGCCCTCTTCAGCCACTGGAGATTGGTGCCCTTGTCCGCGTCCAGGACCCTACAACGACACGTTGGGACAAGGTGGGCATAGTGATGGACGTCGGCCAGTCGCGGGACTACAAGGTCAGGATGCCGAGCGGCCGTGTCTGGTGGAGGAACCGCCGCTTCCTCCGGCCAGTCCCACCCCTTGCTGCTGGTCCCCTGACCGAGGACGAGTCACCTACACCTCACGAGGATCTGCCCCACAGTGCACCTCGACGCTCGGAGCGACTTAGGACTAAGAAGTCCGCTCAAGACAAAGACTATGAGCCTGAGGGGGAAGGGAGATGTAGGTTATGTATATAAGCTACTGTGCCGAGTAGCAACCCTGTATATAAGCTACTGTGCCGAGTAGCAACCCTGTATATAAGCTACTGTGCCGAGTAGCATTTATATATATCATCACGTGGCAACACTGCACGTTATGTGGCACCATTGCCCCGAGGCTGCCATATGGCAAGGCAGCCTCAGTCTGACTGTGTGAGCCGTGCATGGCACACACGAGTCACCACTTGTATTTCTCTCATCCATAATAAACAGACTTCAGTGTTACACGGTGTTTCCCTACCCATCACTGCATCCTTCAGGGAACACTTGTAACCACCAGTATCCACCTGAAAATCAATAAGTAAATCACATACATATAAACACACACGACACTTTGTTCTCTAAACTCTAGCTTCCCTGAGAACCGATCTATGGCAGTTGTTGTCGTGGGATTGTTCTCTCGCTCTTTCTCTACCAATAGGATAGTCCCACAGGGTTCTGTTCTTTCACCTACTCTCTCCCTTCATTTTATCAATGATTTACTTCACACTACGACTAATTCTATCAATCCTTACGCTGGTGATTCTACTCTTCACTCTTCTTCACATTTTTCCCTTCCCCTTAGCTCTCAAACTAAATCTGTTTCTAGAGTTGATATCATTACATCTGTCAATGCGGATCTGTGCAGCATCTCCGAATGGGGAGGTACTTGGTTAAATTCAATAGAAATAAAACTCAGTATTTACCAATTACACTTTCCAAATTAGATGATCTCCCACCAATCACATTTCAAGACGCTATCATTCTGCCAAATTTTAAAATAGATAAGCTAGGCCTCACCATTTCTTCTAATATGTCATCGAAGCCACAAATCCTCAACATTCCTAAAGCTGTCTCCAGAAAGATGGGAATGCTGTACAGATGCCGTAGCTACTTCACTCCTGAGCAGTTGCTTCGAGTATATAAGGGATTTATTCGTCCTAAGTTGGAGTACTGCTCTCATATCTGGGGTGGCTCTTCCTCTGCCCAACTGTTAGATAGGGTGGAATCAAAGGCATTTTGACTTTTTAACTCTCCTCCTCTAGTTAATAATTTTTCTTCCAATTCCCTTCGCCTCAATGTTGCTTCACTTTCTCTCTTTTACAGGTACTTTAACGGGCAATGTTCGGTGAATTTGGCATCCTGTGTACCTCCGGCAAGGCCGTGTGGGCTCGTAACACACGTCTTGCCCGCGGTGCCCACCGTTTTTCTGTGGATGTCGGTCACACTAGAATAACCCCTTATAATGCGTCCTTCTTTCCTCACACAGCCAAACTGTGGAATGCTCTGCCTTCTTCTGTGTTTCCACACTCATACAATATGTCTCACTTTAAAAAGCTGATTTTCCGGCATCTTCGTGGTGTAGATTAAAATAACCTTTTTCTTTTCTATTTAATTTCTTTTTACTCGTATTTTTTTAGCCCCCTAGGCCTCGCTGTTGGTCGATGACCTGTGCCCGGGTGGGCTATGCCCAGTAAAAAAACAAAAATAAATAATTGAATAAAAAAATGGTCTTTCATTGATAAAGGTAATATTATGCAGACCGATGTGATTTATATTCAATAAATGCTTTATTATCGTTTACTTGATAAAATGAGAATACTGTATTATATTCAGAGATCTTACTGTACTGCAGTATGATATGAGCAAATTTACTGGTATTTTAATAATGGTTGCCCCTCGTGTAACGAGGATGGCCGGCCCATGGGCCACCTTGGAGTGAATTTGTTTAAGGTGTAGAAACTATCGCCAACACAACAACCACACCCTAAGTTAACGAGCTGCATGACCCAGTGACAAGGAATAGTCCGAGAAGACCGGATAACTCGCCAACTGTACTGGCTAACCATCACCCCGGAACTCGTACCACAAATCGATTAACATCCAGGTTCCCAATTACTGCTGGGTAAACAGAGGCAAATGGCGTAAAGAAACTTGCCCATAGTTTTCCCCTGATCGGGGATCGAACCCGGGTTTGTTCGCTTGCGAGGCAAGCATGCTAACCATCACACCACAGGTCGCAAATTCACTGGTATTAGCACAATGACAGCCATGTTTTAAATACTGTAAAGTCTAGATTAATGATAACGTAAACTAACATATTCATCTTTACGTTACGGTAGAATTGTTTGGTTCGCTTCATATTCCAATTTAATTTTCAGCCTTTCATAAGGCATACTATCGAATGCACTGGCAAGGTCAAGATTGTCACTGCCACTACGGACCAGACCAGAGTCCGCACATCTAGTACCTTAAGAAATTACGTCGAGCATGAGTGCCCAGGCATTCCTTAACGAGGCTTTCCGTTGCAGACGCTGTATCACGCAACCGCGTATACAGTCATGCTTTCTAGTGTTTTACACACTGTGCTGGTCTAACTCACCGCCTGTAAATGTTTGTGCAGTGGCGAGCGTTGTTTGAATATGACACATATGCCACTTTCCATTGATTGGGGGTCTTCTATTCACCAGTACTTCTGCAGAACAGAAGTTTATGGAGTTGTGTGAATTCGTTGCAGAACTCTCTTAGTACTCTGGGAGTCACACCATCAGAGCCAGAGCTCTTATGAACCTTGATTTATGACAAATTTATTATAATATAATCATGTGAGAACTCGATGTGTACTAGTGCTGTGTCAAACTGTCTCTCTTCAAAAGTAGGGAATTTGTTCGCTTTCTCTCTGATATTCACTGAGAAAAAAAAAATTTGAACGCCTCCGTTTTGTACTTACCTGAGTCTGCATTGATACCATCTTCAAGTCCCAGAACTGGTCTGGTACGCAAGTGTCTTTAATTTTGAATTTAGTAAGGATAGAAAACCTTAGGGCTTAATATGGTCTCAACTACACTGCCTTTGAATTTAATTTTCTGTCCTAAATTGTGACTTGAATTGTTTCCTAGATCCAACATACATGTTTCTGCCCTGCTCATCATTTGTTGCGACTTATGCATCTTCGAAACTCTGAGATTTATTCTAAACTTTGTTAATTACCAGTTGGGTAATTTATAACGATCTCCTAGTAGTTTTAGAACCAGCGGGCTTGATCTTGGACAAGTCTTTCTCCATCAAACTATTTGCAATACCCTTTGAGAATTTCACGGTCGTATCCACATTTTAATTAATTTTCTCAACGAATTTGTCCAGCCATGTTGCCTCACTCATCCTGTTATAATCATCATTGTAACATTGGTACCTCGCCCAGCTCTCGCTTTACCGGTCTTTACCATCTAAGCTAGTTATTTTAGTTACTTATAATGAAAAAAGAAAGAAGTTGTTCCTTACCTCGACAATAACCCGCACCCATCCCATGAATTATGATTTAAGTATTCATGTCGCCTTACCTGTGATCACGATTTTTTCAATAGTGAATTACTTATTTAAGATGGGAATTATAATTATCTTATAGTTATAAAAAATTCAATGTATTGTAGCATTTTTGGCAAAATATTACCCGTATTTACTGTATATCAGAACCATGCATTAAGTTCTTCTATACGATTAATTTTTATTCCAATGGTGGCTGTGAGACGACAACGAAAAGGAATTTATTAAGGATATGAAACAATCAAATCTAAACTAGCTTACTTTACAATACTTAGGTAATTTTATTTGGGTTTCGTTTGTTCCTTTTGTCGGTTTTAAAAGAAGTCACTAAAATAGCCAGTATAGGTGGCTATAAACGGGACTGTAAGGTACTGTTCCCCAACCCTGTGACCCAAACCACTTACTAGTGTGACCAGGCGAACTACTGCGACCACGCGCTGTGACCCACTTAACATGTTACATGCGATTGGCAGCACTGCGGACGTTTCGAAGAAAAAACTAAATTTACAGCAGCGAAGAGGAAATAGAGTGCAGCTTACGTCAAATATAGACTGTCTTCCATCGACGAGAGGGTGAGCATTCAAACAGCACGCTATGCCCCAAATGATACGCATTGAAGTTTGCTCCATACAGTGCCTCATGAAGGTTTGAAGGGTGGCCATAAGGGCATATCAGAGTTCAATCTTCGTCACTGATCTTTTAAAAGTAGCGTACCTGCTCGCTTCAGTCCCGGATTTAGACCTGTGGAGGCCCATGGGCAGCTTTCTTTGTGGAGGCCCCCTTCTATTATTATACCACCTAAGAGGAGGGCGAGGAAGCAAGCCTAAACATCTGGGAAAGTTCGGCGCTAGAGAAGCTAGCCTAATTTCTATCAATACGCTGCCAAATATGTTTACGTGATGAAACAGATAAACATGAATTTCAAAAGAATGAAATAAAAATAATCCAAATTTGAATAAACAAAAATAAATAAAATATTGTAATATGTGGATGCTCCCAGATTGTGGAGGTGCCCCCAGATTGTGGAGGCTCCCCAAGCAGCTGCCCACTTATTTCCACTTCGAATCCGGCCCTGGCTCGCTACCAAAAGAAACCTGCCTATACAGAAGAAATCATCGTACCAGCAATGAACATCCTTTCTGGAAGAAGTGCTTTCTGTGAAAGTGCTGCTACGTTTTCGAAATTTTGAGGTCCCCTTTGAGCTAAGCAACAATTGTTCACTTGACTCTGATGATTGTTGAAGACTGCTCAAAACAGCAAGCAGAAAAAGTGCTCAAGAAAACCCCTGTATTTCGTAATTTAAAGGAATCCACGGATCTGCCAAACAGGGTTCAGTTGATGTGCTCTATCTACAGTGCTGAATGTGGAGTGCAGGTGATTGTAATTATTACTGCATATACTGGTACAATCTACAATAGTTGTATCATCAAAAAGATAAAACTGGAAATGATCAAATACTTGGAGGTGCTGAACTGCACTAGTAAGGGTAAAAGGTTGGGGAACACTGTATACAGTATCAATGCTCATTTTTTCAGAGAGATATCTTCGATGATATTTTCACGATGATCGTTCTCTCCTCCTGGAAGTACTTAGCACACAATCAATATTTGCTATTTTTAATCTTAATAATTTCCACTCGAACACTGGTATTGCGGTTACCACGTGATGACTCAAGTTCGAACCGGTCTTAGATAATAATAATTATTCAGGCAGGCAATAATAATAATAATATCCGAGTTATATCCAGAAAATGATAGCGTTCATATATAACTAATCCTTGTGATTTCAACGGTACAAAATAGTAAAATTCAAGATTAAAACACATACTACACTTTAAAAATAAGAACTTACACCTCCCCCACCCCCAAAAAAGGACCACACACGAAATGAGGATAGGAAGAGAATCCATGAACCATGACGTATAGAGATCAAGGTCATATCAAAAGGAAGCCTTAAAAGCCAGAGAGAGAGGAATTGACTGATGATAGTGGAAAACATGGCAAAAGCATTAAAACAGCTACTACCACAGAAGAAATCAATGAGGAAATTCCAGAGTTGGAAACTGATATTTAGAAATGAAGAAAAGAAATTACAAGTAAATTATCATCACTGCAAAAAAAGGATGTTTTGGAAGACAAATAAATTAAATAAAGATAAAATCTCCAGGCCGATGAAATTTTTCCTCGAGTTTTAGAAAGAGCGTACGGAACAGATTAGGCGGAATCTCTTGTAGGGGGCTACTTTATCAAAAACTATTAGACAGGAGTTGTGCCAGATCAGAAATGAGGCAAGTATCGATAATAAACTCAATTAGATTAGTTTGACGTCATAGTGAAATTTCTTGAATCAATATATCCTGATCATTTATGCCAAAATTAACTACTACCTCAACATGGCTTCTTCATAATCTATAATCGATCTAGATACTGGATCTTTCACGATGGCGGTTAAAACAGGATGACACCAAAATAAAGATAAATTAAAGGATGCACTACAGGAGGATTAAACAAAACTGGCAGGGTGGCCGCAGCCTATGCAAGGAAATTCACCACCAGTAAGTGCATACTTATTATTGGAAGAACAAAATACGTTTTGACGATATAGCCCATCATCAACTTGATAAGTCGACTTCAGAAAGAGACTTCCTGGTTGGCATTTAGGCCCGGACCCATGTCAGAAAACAGTGCGTTAATGCCCAAAATATGCAAACAGAGATGGATTTTATATCTAGAAGTGGCGGTCAGAGGTGAGGTCATAAGGTAAATCTATATTCGCACCGTAGTCAGCCGCAACTCGATTATGCCGTTCATTTCTGGTGCCTTATAGAATTTCATCAATCGCAGCGAAGAATGACGAAAATGACCTGGACTTAGAACCTTCCATATCAAGATAGATTAAAGAAACTAAACTTGTATTTCGGAAAAAGATTTGAGATGGAGATGACTAAGTGGGTGAACCCACTGAAGATATAGATAAAGTTCTGTATCCTTGTTATGGATGGAGGACCTGTTGCAACGGATTGCTGCTGATGTTTAGGTTTAAGAGGGCTGGAACTGGTCTGGAGAGTGTGATCACGGAGTGAAACAAGCTTGAAGTATTCAAGTAGTAAGTGCTGAATATTGAAAGTATGAGGCTGAGATTCCATGATGATAAAGAGTGTCAAACTCTCAGACAGAGCTGTGCCCACTGCCACAGATTCTTTAGGTTTTCTTATGTTCTATGTTCTACCCCAACCCTTCTAAATACCTTCACACATATAACCCATAATTCTCACTACCACCACACAAATCTCTATACATGTTCCCACACCACCACACACCACACACCACACCCATACATTCCACCCATACTCCAGAACACCAGACCTCCACCACACACCACACACCACACCCACACACCTATACTTTCACCACACTCACTACCACCACACCACCACCACCACACTCCATACCTTCCACTACCAACACTCCATACCTTCCACTGCCACCACACTCCATACCTTCCACTCCCACCACACTTCATACCTTCCACTACAACCACACGTAACCAAACCCTCTCACTGCCACTACCCACTCACTACACAAACCCAAACCTTCCACAACCACATACATGCAACCCAAAACCTATCCACTACAACCACATTCCACATCTTCCACTACAACCACACTTCATATACATTCCACTACCACCACACTTAACCCAAACCTTCCACTACAACCACACTCCACCACCATCACAATTAACTCTTCCATCATCCCTGATATGACCCCCCATAATACGTTTTAGGTTCGTGGGTTTGTGACCGACTACAACATATTGACTTTTTTCCTGAATCAGCTAATTTGTCCCCTTGTTTTTTTAGTATTGACAACTAAATCACTATTTATTGTGATTCAACACTTTTATACAGTAGTATCTGAATCGCAGCTTCGACAGCAGCAGTTCCAGGATTCGCGTGTTCGTCTACTTATCCTATTGATTTTAAGTTAGGTAATGTAAGTCTGGCTTAGTTTCATCAAGTCTTACACACGTCATAATTTCACTAAAGTTTCTGGTTATTGTGTTTAGTAACATAATAACTTAAATGCTTTAATTTATCATTGCTAAAGAATAGAACTTAAAATAAAATTGTCATTAAATCTTGCTTACATTTTACTATTCTTTTACGAACACGTTCCTACTCCAGCGACTTATCACGCTATCTCAATATTTCCGCTATATTTAACCTAACTCAGCCTAGAACCGTCAACACAACCACCAAGAAATATCAGATATTATACAGATTTTAGGTAATTTAACTCCTGAATATACCAGTATATCGAGTACGCTTTACACCTTACCAACCGATATGTACTCGATTTCAAAGGTGATGATCAAGATGGAGAGGACAGATGTGTACTCAACGACGATTTGCTTGGAAATGATCTGCAATGCAATGATCAATACAGATGTTAGTTCTTAGGTCACCATGATTAACACCTGTAACGATATGCATCACGAAGATACACGACTTCCACCAAAACTACCACTACAACTCCCCAATTAACCCAAGCCTTCCACCACACCCACCACACTTAACCCAACTTTACCACAACCAACACACTTCCCCAACTCTACCACAATCACCACACTAACCACACTCTACAACCACCACACTACCCCAACACTACCACCACCACCACACTTACCAAACACTACCACACCCACCACACTCCTACCCCAACTTTACCACAATCAACACACTTACCCCAACACTACCACAACCACCACACTTACTTAACACTACCACAACCACAACACACTTACATTAACACTACCACCACACCGACCACACTTACCAAACACTACCACAACCACCACACTTACCAAACACTACCACAACCACCACACTTACGCCAACACTACCACAACCACCACATTTACTCCCCAACACTACCTCAACCACCACACTTACTCCCCAACACCACACACAACCCACACCCCACCACACTACCAAACCACCACACTTACCCAACACTACCCACAACCACCACACTTACACCCCAACACTACCACAACCACCACACTTACTAAAACCATACCAAACCAATTAATTTATTATCACTACCACAACCACCACACTTACCCCAACACTACCACAAATCACCATTAATTTACTAAAACACGAAACCCTTCCCAGTGCAATGACCTCGCTAGTCTTGTAACTAACAATCCTTCTTGTATGAACCCAAGTACTTTATTAGCCTTGTTACGAACAAAAACACATTGTTTACTTAACTTACTGTTCCTACTTATTACTCCTAAATCTCTCTCTCAGTGATTTCTAAGTATGTCGTTCATCTGGTATCTGGTTTCCCTGTTTACATCTCCTATACTGAGTACTTTACATTTGTCCAAGTTGAATTTTATTGCCATTTTTCAGACCATTCGAAAAGTTTGTTTAGATCTTCCTGTATTTTGTGGAGTCCTCGTCAGATTTAATAACACGTCCTATTTTAGTGTCATCAACAAATTTGCTTATGTTGCTGTCTATGCCGATATCTATTTCGTTTATGTATATAATAAATAATAATGGTCCAAGTACTGTAGAGGCAGCGGGTAACCCCCACCCCCACCTGAACAGCTTGTTTGGTTGCTAGGATACTGTCCCATTGGAATGCGGTTGTAGTTTGGGGAGAGGATCCATCACAATATGACCCCCATATTCCTATAATATGTTTTAGGTTCGTGGGTTTGTGACCCATTACAACATATTGACTTTTTTTCCTGAATCAGCTAATTTGTCCCTTGCTTTTTTTAGTATTGACACTAAATCAATATTTATTGTGATTCAACACATATTTATACAGTAGTATCTGAATTCCAGCTTCGACAGCAAAGTCTTACGCGTGTTTCTCTTACTATCCTATTGATTTTAACTTTAAGTCTGGTTGTTTCATCAAGTCTTACACACGTCATAATTTCACTAAATATCTGGTTGTTGTTTTAGTAACATAATTTACTTAGTAACTCTAAATGTAATTTATCATTGTAAAGAATAGAACTTTAAAATAAAATTGTCATTAAATCTTTGCTTGCACATTTTACTATTCTTTTACGAACACGTTCCTACTCCAGCGACTTATCACGCTATTTCAATATTTCCTGCTATATTTAATCTGACACTCTGTGTTAACTCTCACCGCCCCCTGATGAACCACACACTGTCACGCACTTCCAACCACCAATGAAAATATCAGATATTATATAAGATTTATCAGTAATTTAACTCCCGAATATACCAGTATGCAGTACAAGCTTTACACCTTACCAACCGACAAATTCTCGATTTCAAGGTGATGATCAAGATGGAGAGACAGATGTGTACTCAACGACGATTTGCTGGAAATGATCTGAACGCAATGATCAATACAGATGTTAGTTCTTTGGTCACAAATGATAACACCTGTAACGATATGCATCACGAAGAATACACGACTTCCACCAAAAACCACCACCCCTCCCATTAACCCAAGCCTTCCACCCACCCACTCACACTTACCCCCAAACTTACAACCAAACACCTCTACCCCAACACACAACCACCCCTCACACACAACACACTACTACAACCACCACACTTACCCTTCACTACAACAAACACCATACCTACCCCAACACTACCACAACCAATCACACTTACTAAACACTACTACAAGCACTACACCTTACTCCAACAATTAAATAACCACAACACTTATTTAAAGACAATCACAACCACCACACTTACCCCAACACTAACACAACCACCACACTTACCCCAACAATAACACAACCACAACACTTACCAAACACTACCACAACCACCAACCCACGAAACACTATCACAACCACCACACTTACCCCAACACTAACACAACCACCACACTTACCAAACACTATCACAACCACCACACTTACCAAACACTCACAACAGCCACCACACTTACTAAACACTACCACACCCAGCACACTTACTAAACACCTACCACAACCACCACATTCTACCCCAACACTACCACAACCACCACAGTTACTAAACACTACCTCAACCACCATACTTACACTCAACACTACGACAGCCAACACACTTACCCCAACACTACCATAACAACCACACTTTCTAAACAATACCACAATCACCACACTTACTAAACACTACTAGAGCCGCCACACTTCTAACACTACAACAACCACCACACTTACTAAACACTACCACAACCACACATACACTTACCAAGCACTATCACAACCACCAAACTAATTCCCAACACTACTTCAATACACCACACCTACCAAACACTACCACAAACCACCACACTTACTAAACACTACCTCAAAACCACACACTTGACTCCAACACTACCAAACCACCACACTTACCCAACACTACCACAAACCACCACACTTACCCCAACACTACCACAACCACCACACTTACTAAACACCACCCTCAACCATCACACTCTACTCCCAACACTACCACAACCACCACCACACTTACTAAACACTACCACACAACCAATCACACTTTACCCTGAAAAACTACACTGACCACTACATTATGAGACACTACCACAACCATCACACCTTACAAAAACACTACCACAAACCACCACACTTACTCCCCAACACCACCACAACCACCACACTTACACTAAACACTACCAAAACCCCTATACTTACTAAACACCATCATAACCACCACACCCTACCCCAACACTACCACAACCACATAATTTCTAAACACTACCACAACCACCACACTTACTCCCAACACTACCACACAACCACCACACTTCCTAAACACTACCACAATCACCACTCTTACTAAACACTACCACAACCACTACACTTAATCCCATCACTACCACACACCAATTACTTTACTCAAACACTACCTCAAACCACCACACTTCTACTTCCAAAACTACCACAACCAATCCACACTCTACAAAACATTGCCTCAACCACCACACTTACCAAACACTACCACAACCACCACACTACTAAACACTACCACAAGCACCACACTTACCAAACACTACCACAACCACCACACTTACCAAACACTATCACAACCACCACACTTACCAAACACTACCACAACAATCACACTTACCAAACAATACCACAACCACCACACTTACTTTAAACCCTACCGCAATCACCATACTCTACCACACAACACTACCACAACCACCAATAACTTAACAAACACTACCAAAACCACCACACTTACTAAACCATACCGCAACCACAACACACATATTATCACTACCACAACCTCCACACTTACCCAAAAACTACCATAACCACCACACATACTAAACACTGCCACAACCACTAAACTTACTAAACACTACCACAACCACCCATTTACTCCCCAACACTACCACAACCACCACACTTACTAAACACCCTACCACAACCACCACACTCCTACCAAACTTAACATCCATCACACTTACTAAACCATACCGCAACAACAACACTTATATCACTAACACAACCACCACACTTACCAAAAACTAAGAACAACCACCACACATTCTAAACACTAACACAACCACTAAACATACTGATCACTACCACAACCACCACACTTACTCCCAACACTACCACAACCACCAATTAACTTAACTACAACACTACCATAACCACCACACTACCAAACACTACCACAACCACCACACTTACGAAACACTACCACAACCACTACTACACTTACTAAACACTACAACAGCCACAACACTTACTAAACACTACCACACCCAGCACACTTTTCAAACACTACCACAACCACCACATCTCCCAAACACCACCACAACCAACACACTCCTACCCCATCACTACCACAACCACCAAACTCTACCTCAACACTACCACAACCACCACACTTACTAAACACTACCACAAGCATTACACTTACTAAACACTATCACAACCACCACACTTACCCCAACACTAACACAACTACAACATCTCTACCAAACACTCACCACAACCAACACACTTCACCCAACATTACCAACAACTACCACACTTACTAAACACTACCACAAGCACTACACTTACCAAAAACTACCATAACCAACACATTTACCAAACACTACCCCAACCACCACACTTACCAAACACTACCACAACCACGACACTTTGCAAACACTACCACAACCACCACACTTACCCCATCACTACTACAAACCACCACACTTACCAAACACTACCACAACCACCACATTTACTAAAACCATACCGCAACCACCACACTTATTATCACTACCACAACCACCACACTTACTCCCAACACTACCACCAACCACCACACTTAACTACAACATTACCATAACCACCACACTTACCGAACACTACCACAACCACCACACTTACGAAACACTACCACAACCACTACACTTACTAAACACTAC